TGTATTTCTTTACCCCTCTCCTTATTGTCATGATGCCTGATATGCCATATCCTGAATGGAGTGGAAATATTCGTTTTGAAAAGAAAAATGCCTTAACAGGCATAATGCAGAAGAGGAAAGAACAGCTAATGGTACTGAACTGCCATATTCGAGAAGGTCTTTGTAGAAATGCAAATGCCAAGTGAATTGCAGAGTTCACTATCACATCTTTACTATCTCTTCAAAACATATCAATCCTGGAGTTTCTGAAGAATACTGCTGGCTTTTCTTACTAAGTTGTACAGTGAACTCACATTTTAAAGCAATTGTGAATATTCTTACACAGAATAAAATGAGAAGAACAGTATTTTTTTAATAACTGATTGTAGTCAAAGACAGTTCAGGTTTCTTGGCTAGACTTCTCTGCACTGTTGGCCCACAAGATGATTAGTTTGGATAACACTGAGATTTCTTTCAATACCCAGCTTTGATGTGTTAAAAAATTTCCAAATCCTTCCAGACACCCAACCACCTTTCCTATGCACAAGCCTTTATCAGTGACTATGAACATGGCACAGGGATAATGTCCAATCCATAGAAAATGTCCTGGTTTTCCTCTGAGAAGACCTTTATCTACTTGCTATAACTGAGGAAATGATTTACATGGCAAATCATAGATGTCTTTTGCCATCAGAGATACCCTACAGAGTCCAAACTGTTCTGACAAAGGGCAAACATAAAGGCCTATGCAAGCAGCTGCAGCTGGAGGTCAAGTAAGATACACTACGGCACATCTAAACACATGGTCTAGACTTCTGTGCTTAGTCTTCTGGCCTGCTCACTTTGGGTACAGCTGTATATTACTGTTATAGACACAGTGCATAAATCAGGGCAGCTACATAAGCAGAATGTTACATTTAAATTCATATCCTTTGTTCCTTAGTGCAAGTGGTTAGTAAGCACCTTCCTAATGTGGTCCAGTCTTGCTCTCTCTGGCGTCTACTCACAGCCTTGCTTTGTGCTCCTTGGATGTATTATTAAGGCCATTCTCACCCTATTTGCAGGTTTCTGGGACATGAGGGTCAAAGGCACAATGTCACTGGCTTGTACCACACCATGCTTAATGTGAAGCACAGTTTGCTACATGTTGGGAAGAGGTGCAGAGCTGTTTCTGTGCTCTATAGATCTTTATGCACCAAATCAGACAGCTTGTGTTATCTTTCCAGTATAGGAATCTTGAGGAAAGGAAGGAGTTCTCCTTGAAGTTACCTTGTTCCCAGTGTTTGATATACTTGAACCAAACCAAGAAGAAAGCAAGTTTATTTAAATTTTCTGCTGAAATAAGCTGGCAACATGTCTTTATTTCCATGACCAGGGAAACGTGTGAAACTTTTCTGATCTGCACAATTCCTCTTACATGGTTCCTTTCCTGGAGCATCCACATATTTGAGCAATGCCTTGTTTAAACACATGACTCTAGAATTTGCTAATCTGATTTCACATATAGCTAGAGCAGGTCTAGAAGCAGCACAGGTGCGTTCACCTTTTTCTCTGCTCAGTTTTATGTACTATCTATGGCTTTCTTAATGGAACAGATCACACTAAAGCAACACCTTGAGAGAATGTGTGAGAGACTATAACATAATAACATGATTGGTCTTAATTTTACCAAAATGTCAAGGGAACAGCAAAGAGTGAAATGGTACAACTTACAAATCACAGATGCCAGTTTATTTTAGTGGTGGCCACCTTAATAAAAATAAATGGAGAAAACCAAACACTCTTAATTTGTTGTACGTCTGTAGTGCAGTAGCTGCTTACTTTTGTCTGTGTTCTCTCAGAACAAAACAGACATTGATTGTATTTATTGTATTTGTACCTATACAAATATATGGCTGGTGTGAGTCAAACTCTTTCACTCCATGGAGAGTAATAATTTTTTAAAAAGGTTGAATTTCATGCACTATTCACTTGGTTTCTTGATTTTTCTAGTACGCGTCAAAATATTCTTTTACTGCATGTATCACTGATTTCTTCTGGGAAACTGAAACTAGACTGTCTACTGAACTCAGGAAATTGCAAATGTCCTTGAGGCAAAAGAAATGAAATCAGGAGGCCATGAAGTTCAAGCTTACACTGCCATTTGATTTCTTCTCTGCTGTTCAGTTGTTGAAGACTGACTCAACAAATTAAAGGCTCTACCAGTGCATAGTTAATGGAGAAACATGAAACGTGGATCCTTTCAGGAAAACATAACATTAAAGTGTCTCTGCATTCAACAGAGAAACTTTTTGTTATTAACAAGCCAAACGTGGTTTTATTTTCTCAGATGCATCTTCTTATTAGTGATGACAGGCAGCTTCTACTCTCTCCTCTGTCTCTGAGGTTAACGTTTCTTCCCTTTCTTTGCTTTCTGTCTCACTTTCCATGTTCCCCAATATTTATATATTTTTTATTTTTTTTTTAATCTGTTGGTGAAGACTGCTACAAAATGGCATAAAAATGGTTATGGAAAGTCACATCAAAATATTCTGCCAATATGAAAGCTTAAGTAAGGCTACAGAGACAGGTGAAGCACATTGTTGTAGTGCTCTCTTTGCACCCAGCAGTCTACATTTCAAATGCATCCTGACCCAGGCTTGCTCAGATATAATTGACTAAATTTAGTCAGTTTAGTCAGAGAGATCTGACTGGCTACAAGGAAAAACAATAAAATCAGCTTTTAACCTTAGGCTTTCCTTATAATGAATCAAGTCCTGGTTTTGGTTTGCCTCTGCAAAAAAGACACCAAAAATAAGAAGGATAAATCACACTCTTTTGTCTTTTCACTATAGACTGAATCTAAACCTTCCTGTCAAAGGCCTGTGATTACCCCATAGAAAAATCTGTGCATGCTGAGCTTCTTATTGTTTAGTATCCTTTGATGGATTTTGCATAAATACATACATATAAATATATATATATGTTTTGAATTCCTATACATTTAACATACACAATATCAAGTTGAAAAGAGTTGAGGTTAACAACAAGTGGGCAAAGAAACTTTACCTTTTTTTATTTCTATCCTACTTGCATAGAAAATATTTTTTTTTTTTTTGTATTATTGTTACTACTGCTACTAAGTGACAACTTTTCTAATCTGCATATGCTGAACTGTATAGAAACTGTCACATTCATGTACTGAGACAATCCCTGGACACATATGAGCAACTGTGGAGAGTGAACCCACCACCAGCAGCAGAACCATTATTTACTTGTTATTTCTCTTTTATCTTTTTAAAAGGTATTCTAAGAACTTGAATGTCAGCCAATGCAATTTTCTCAATCTTCATCAGGGTTTAGGGGATGATGTAGCAAAAGCCCTTATCTTCTTGGGAGATCCTAGAGATCTGTGACAATATATATTTTCCAGGCTCTTGGGAGCCCTTAGAGCAGAACAATGTTTGTTTTGAAGATGAACAAATCTAATACAGTTATGCCTGGTGTATCCCATGCGGAAAATAGCTGAAATTCATCACTGGGATCTTGGAGATGAAACTGCATCGCATTGTCAGTTCCTACAAATGATGAGTAAAGATTTCCAGTAGAGGTTTGTTAGGAAACCCTTTCTATCTTTGATATAGGGTTGGGGGCTTGTAGTATTACAAAGTCAAAACTGTACAATGGCTCAGTATCTCCTATCACACAAAAAAGTGCAACACAAGCTCCATCAAACTGATTACACATGACTTAACATTTACTTTAAGTGTGTATTGGGTGTGTAGTGGCTGTTTGATGCATTAATGACCCAAACTGTTCACTCCATTCCCTTTACTGGGATGTGAGGGAAGTAAAGCTTAACAGTGCAGCTAGGGCTTGAAAATTAACTGAGGAAGATTGAATTCAATTATTGCTTTACCTGTTTTCTTGTTCCTACTTAGTACGTAAGGGAAAACAGACCACTTGACAGATATACTCTGCTTCCTCTGTAGTTCTCCATTGTCAAGAGCAAAGGAAACAGGTTGGGAAATATGGGATGGGAAATATGAAATATGAAGCACAAAAATTGCTTCAGTGCAACAGGATGACCTATTTATTCCATCTTCAATCCATGCACTGATTTTCACGGTGCTTTTCACAGAGGGTAATTTGAACCTTAGTAGTGCCCCTATAAAATGATCTAATGAAACCTGAGGTAGTATTGCCCTTAAATTGATATTCCCTTAAACTGATATTCCCTAGCCACTGTCTGCAAAAGGTATGAAATCTTGTATTGATTTCTGGGAATGGATCACATTGTTTTTTTATTACCTCTTTGGGATTGTCTGCGTTCTGTTGGTTGCAATGTACCTCTTATAAGATAACTTATCTTTTTCTTCCCCACCATTTGTTGTTTTTGTGTTTGGGATTGTTTTTGTTTTTGTTTTCTTCTTATGGTGGGCTGCTTTAGGAAAAAAAAAGAAAATGTTTGGATCAAGCCATCTCTGTTCAGTTGGCATTACATTCCTTTTTGGCAAGAAAGTTGCCTTGTATTCATGGGGAATAAAGGAAGAAGGAAACATTAAGGAATGAACAGGGTAAAAGACTGGGAGAAAGCTTTTGATGTAGTTTTGAATCCTGGGTGAGGTTAATGGGTTGTGCAAGGTTCATGAGAAACTGGTGCGAGATCAAACTGAGCCTCAGTTGATTTCTGATTCCTCTCTTAGTTATTTCTCTATTTAGAAGTACATTTGCTTCAGCTTTATATGAAGAAGGAATGCAATAAAATAATGCAAACACATTAGAAATTACTTGACAGGGAGGACAACATAAAAAGCCAAAAAAATTTATAAGAATTATAATTCCATGGTTTGGCCATAAGACTGCTGGTGATGCAGGAGGGGGATAAATAAATAATTGTTGCATTTTTTCTCATCTTCTAAGGGTGTTTTCTTTTTTCTCTTTGAAATGAGACCTCAAAACTTGCTGTTGTTGCCTGATAAGCTCACTAACAGTTTGAAGTTTGTAATTGTTCTTTTTCCACATTTTTCCCCACATTTCAGGTTACAGCAACCCATTCCAACTGCATCATTAAGAAGGAGCAGGAGACTTGTCTGGAGAAGATACGGAGGGCAGCTGCCCTGAACCCTCTCAATGACTCTTCTCCAGGTGAGTTTCAGCTTGCAATGTACCTTGTACATTGAACTGGTGGTTTCTAAACTTTTCCTGTCATGTCTGCAGGGGGTTTTGGCAATGTCAATGCAAACATTTTACAGTAAGAGGTGCAATCACTGCAGCTAAATGAGCTTAGAGAAACATTATAAGGACAAAAATCAATCAATGGGGATGTACCAGAACAATTGCTGGTTATTATCAGAGGTCAGGAATTTGCTTCTGTGCTTTAGGTGATGCAGTGATATATGTCTACAAAATTAATCTATAAAGGAAAAAAGAAAAAAGAAACAGCATGTCTGGATAGGCCTCGGTAGTGTTTGTGTCTTCTGCTGGAGCAGGTGGTAACAGCTTTTGGGGACTGGACATAAGACTAAGTGCATCATTGGTCTGTTCTGTAACAGCTCATTCCCTCCTCAGCTTAGTAATAATTTGTGCCTCTGTCACATGATCTGAAGACATTTACAGGGATTAACATTGTGATGACCATAATCTTGATGAAGAATACTGGTGCTATTGCTAAGATAAGGAACTGAGGCCGCAAGCAAAGAAGAAGTTAATAGTTTAATATCCTGCCTCATTTCTCACTGACTGCAGCAGGAGCTGCCTGTGGCCGGCACCAGTGAGAAAAGAGCGAAGAATTTCAAAGAAACTAATTGGAAATCAGGGTCTGCTTTCTGAGTCCTGTCCAAGCTGCTTCTATTGTGACTAGAATTAGTAAAACTGCAGAGAAAAGCAGATAAAATGCATTGTGTGTACAATAAAAAAGGAGAGCTTTCTCTCCCCTTTTCTTCACCACATATTTTACCCCAGAAGCAAGGAGGAGCAGAATGCAGATATCTGTGTTACCAGAGCATCCTCTGAAGCAAGCCATTCCTGCATTTTAGCTTCTAGGAGTACTTCCTAGAGAATATTTATCTCATATCCATTCTGCTCTTCATCTCATATATAAGGTCATTTTTCTTCTGCTTCCCAGTTTTGGGCAAATGAACTGTGTGGTTTGGTGGAACTGAAGAAATCGTATACTTCAGGCAGTTCATTTCAGCTCCAAGGATGTTTTGAGACCCTCTCTACACAGTACAGAAGAATTTTCCAGTTCTTCTCTGGTCCAGAAGTGGCATAAGAAAGGGAAAAAAGGGAGAAAAATTTGTTTCTCCTCCCTTATTCTCAGAATAATATCAGAAGCTGATCATGAGCCCTACTTCTTATGATTATGCAATGGCTGTTATTTTTATTCAAGAATTCACAGATTTTCCCAGGTCAAAAGAGACCATTTCACCAGCTAGTTCTTCACTCAAATCCAGAATAACCCTTGCAGTTGGGGGGCTATTCATATGGACCTCCTCCCTTCTGCCTCTTCCACATTCAAAAACCACAGCTCAGAGATAAAGGAGGTCCAGAGCCAGTGGAAAGGCTTTTGCATCATAATGTGATTAAAATGTATCAGGCATGCAGGCAGGGAGTGAATCTTTTCAAGCACTAACTCAGCAGCAGAACTCAGCTGCTCTTCATTCTGTTGTCCCAGGATCACTATGCATCCTCTAGTTGTTCACATCCTGGTGCAATGAGTTCCACAGATCATGAATCCTACTCCAGGGTGCCCACATGATGCAAAAAACCATAATGGTAATAGTAGGATCTCTGCTCCTGTTTAGAGCTTGTCTTTTGCACTGATATTTCTCCTTCCTATAAGTACTGCATGGAGAGAAATGCACTTTGATGTCAAAAGAAGAACATCTTATGGGTTCCTACATTTTGCAATAACTCAACTCTCCTGCCTTGGGTTTGTCCCCTTGCTGTGTTCAGCATCTGTGTACACAGACATAAACTAAATGGTTCCCCAGAGCCTCTCTGGGTAAGATCCAACACAAGCACGATGTTGATTCTGCAACTGCAACCACAGGTCTTGAAGAACAAGGCTGGCACTGTATTAAGGAAAGCATACAGCCCTGATTTATCAGGGCTCTGATGTTTTCCTCTTTCCCTCCCCCTCTACCTCTTGTGCCCAGATGTTATGCTCATTACCGTTTTATTTTTCACAGCCCTGTTTTCTCTCCTTCTGCGGCTGTGTAATACCTATAATGCTTCAGAGACAATGGTTGCCTTGAGATTTTCTGTTTGTTTTTCTCCATGAGTTTTATGATGGCTTCTTCTTCTTAAATGTTTTAAATTCTTCATGAGCCTTTATATGAAAAGAAACAAGGGGTGTGTGCCTCCATCCCCATTTGACCATCACCTACAGCCTGAATGAAAAAGAGAATTTGAAAAAAAAAAGAAATCTCAGCAGGAACCAGAATCTGACTCCTTCGCTCTGGAGTGGGAATTAAAGTGATAAGGGGAAATAATTAATGTAAAAGGCAGAAAAGAAAGGAATGATCACTTCGTATTTAACTTCTCCAGGCAGTGTAGCCAGGCTACATCAATGTTTACTATTTTCCTTTTCTGAGTTTTTGTCCCTGTTCTAGTGTAGAGCTGCCCCAGTTCCTGCTGAACACTCTTCTAACTGTCAACAGTCCTCAAGGGGTGTTCTGCCGGATAAGAATTGATTAAGCTCACTGCTGATCCATATGCATTCTTTTTAATTTTTATTTATTTTCTTCTAGACTCTGCTAACATGTTCCCAGCCCTGGTGTCACAAAAGAATGGCACAGGAGTTACTCAGATACTTAATGGCAGTTTCCTGGTTCAAGTACACTTAGTATGGAATTAATCTAATTAAATGCTGAAACCTGCAAATGCATCTACACCGCAAATGAGCAAGTCAGCTTGCTCATTTGTAGCTCTGAATATCTGCTGAGTAGACTTAAGACATAATTCAGTTAAGATTAGGTGATACCTTTTTTTGTCTATGGACATATATGGGAGTAAGGGTGACCATCTCAGTTGTAAATATTTACAATGTAGCAATCTACATTTTATGAGAAAAATCCTACCTGAAGCATCTGGCTCTGTTGTACCGCCTAAGTCATGCTAAATGTTGTGATTACGTGAAAAAATCTGGACTGTAACTTTTACCATGGGATGTTTTGATGTGTAGGTCTTCATGCCATCCATGTACTTAACTGTAGCAGATCTACTTAGGCCTGTGTGACCTCAAAAGACAGGCAGGTGTTCAGCAGCCTGCGCATTCATGTTTTCCACATGCATGCACTGGCAAAGAGAATCTCCCAGCTGTCTTCTGCTTCCTGGTGAGCTTCTGTCTGACGTAGTTGTAACTCCAAGGGTCTTACACATTTTTCTGGCTTGCTCTGGGATGCACTAACCAGTTTTAACTGATATTGTTCAGGGTCACAGCTGGGAAGTATGCTACTCAGAGAAATCCTATGATAGAAAGAGCCCTGCTCATAAAGCGTAGAACATTTCTACAGCTGTAGATTGGCATGATAGGCTTTTCCCAGCCTGTTACCTGTCTTGCTTTCCACAGTTGGAACTTTATATTCCTGACTTGTCCTCTGAATTTGGTGCTCTCTCAAATGGTGGGGGAGTTCCTTGAATGCTCTGTGAACTAGGTCCTCTGATTTAATATTTATAGTGCCTCAAATGCACTAGTCTGGAATGAGGCAAATTGTGGTAATAGTGAACACAAAGAACTTGAATAGAAATAGGAGTGATTAGGACTCATTGGTGATTTTGTGGTTCATGACTTGACTTACTGTCAAATTAATCTTTAACTTGTAGTCCTAGTTAACTAGTCCCACTTCTCCTGTCCTTCCTCTGAAAAATGTTGAAAGGCAGTGGCATTGCCAGGCAAGTCAAGAAATTCAAATGAAATATGTATCTGTTTATAGTCAATAGATCAAAATAAGTACTTAAAAGACACTTCAGAAGTATGTGCAGGACTTAAACTTCCGTTATTTTAGACATCCATCTTACATTGAGAAGACTGTAACAAGTGCCCATTTCTTTCACATTGCCTATTAAAGCACTCATTACAGAGGTCTGAGGTTAGCTGGTATGAATACTGTGAATAGCTATGTAGCAATACTGGAATGAACAAAATCATCACAATTCCAACGTAAAGTAAGCGGCAGGCTCTATACAGAATCTTTCTCTCAAATGGAGCAAAGCTAAAAGGGATGTTGCTAGCCTACTGCGAATTCAGCTCCATTAGTGAAGCTGAAGGCCTGGAAGTGCATTGTCATTGAAAAAGTTCAGGATCAGTTTTGACAGGGGAAGAAAGGATTCTGTGCTACAGAAAAACTGCTTTAGAATGACCTATGGAAAAGTTTCTTGCTAGTCACGTCTGGAGGCAGGACAAAACTCTAATGGGTGAACTACACATATGTTCCTGTTTCTTGGAAAAGGCTCTAGCATATTTCTTTTTTTTGCCCTCTATAATATACAGCCAAGCTATATATATGTATGTATATGTGATCTGCCTGGCAAGACCAATAGCATAATAATGATAATTGTAGCTGTGAAGGTTTTCTGGTAGCAGGGATTAAAACCCCATCCATGTTGTAGCCTAGACATAATATGAAGATGCACATATTAGCGCCAGTTGAACAGGGGTAGTAATTTGGCATTGTAACTCAGCTGAGATCATGGTCTTAGGAGCAGAAATAATTTTCTGCAGAGCAGTGTTGTGTTTGTGTAATCGTACAACTTTTGCTTCCAGATCTAGCTGGGTTGCCATTAGACAGGGGGTCTCTGTACAGTTCTTCATGGGGAATCACAGTGTCTTTGATAATCCTATGTGTCTCAGGGTCAAGAAAATCTTTCCTTAATACACATTCCCTTTCTCTTCAGTACCATGTGTTATTTATAGTATAGTCCTAAACCATGGCAAATTGATGAAGTGTGTAGGGCTGTAGCTGCATCACACAGTACCAGGACAGTATTCTGCCATGGATTTTCTACAGTGCACATGATAAATATGGATACTTCAGTCTCTGTCCTAAAAATCTTATCCCCAAATCCTACTAGTTCTTATTCACTGCTTTATCTCCAGGGATGTGATTTGTCTCTCTTGATTTTGGTAACTAACCTAAATTGTC